AGTTTTTTGATAAAACGAACGTTTGTTTTGAATTTTCTGATCGTGTTACGTTACACGAGATCCTGAAATCTGATTGGCTCGGTGATGCATAAGCCGTTGTCACTTATGTGACAAATAACTTTACTCTTAATTTATGCATAAAATCCCGTTGTACCACTGAGATCATATGATAAATGATCGACATACACTCTCACAATTCTAAATTTTCAATTTTCTGCCTTTTTGCCAATACAGATCTGCTATAATTTCCCACACTGTAGCACCTTAAATTTTTTTGTGCACAAAGAGATGTTATAATCTATATTTTTACGGAATGAATTAATACACAACACAAGCTTTATCTAAATTTAGCAGTAATACCGGATAAATACAAGTTAAAAAACTTGTAAATCCTTACAAAATAGTTTTCAATGACTGTTATGGGCAAAACACCAACACACACAGCCACAAAAAAAACGACTTCGCACAATGTTACTCAACATCTAAGGCTGGAGTTGAATAAGTTATGCGAGAACAATTATGCCTTACGAAGGTCAAGGTTGTCTTTATTAGGGTCGAGTTGGGACCTCTTTTATTTACAATATATATATATTTTAACAACTATTTTCCCTTTTTTTTTTTTTTTTTTAAGAGTGAGGCCTGGCCTCGGTCTTTATTGAATAATTTATGTTTTTACATTTGTAGAATGAGTTACATGAATTAATACGGGGACCTACAGCTAGGACTACTTTATCCTCGGCCTAAAACTCTACCAGAGTAGGCTAACAGGCCTCATCTAGATTTATGGTTGCGATGTAAGATGTGGAAATGTTAGTGATGGGAAACATGGTTGCCCATCTGTTGAACTTTGCTATACTATGTTGTAATGTGGAGGGTGTTCCGGAGGAACAACTATTTTCCTTTTTTTTTCTAGACTTTTATACATTTTACAAGCAGGAAAAAAAGAAAAAATCGAAAAATTCTTCACGCCAATTCGTTACTCTAGAATCCCACCATTTGCAAATCGCGTTACATTACCACGGCCACACACTTAACCCGACAAGGTATATTGCCTTGACAGATGTCAAGCCATATTGGGTAAGTGTCATTTCCTCAATGAGATCTACGGTGTAATCGTTCGATGGGGGGGCTTACGCTTTCACGGTCTTGACGTAGAGAATCGTCGTCCAAATCCTGGTCCCGTGGCATTGTTTCACGGCAATTTTCTTACGTAACGTTCACGGTGATTCTGCCTCTGAAAATACAAAGTATGCTGTCTAATGATATGCAAGTTTTTGCGCGCCGGTAAACTACGTTCCTGATATTTAGCAAATATAATATATAAATAGGGCGTTATTGTGAGTCCATATATAATTTTCAAAATAATGTCTGTGTTATTACATGCTTATACGGAATAAGTACTATACTATTTATTCCACGTAACGGCGGGAATAAGTGATACAGTACATCCCAGGTCTCCTGGGGGCCGAAGAGCCTCCGGTTATTTCCCCAATCGTGGGAATAAGGGTATTATTTTTTCGTTTATATAACTGATAAGATGTCATGACGGGCTTTACGACTCATAATCACTACTTTAGTCTTTAGTCAATAAAAAACTCGAGTTTCTAGCAATATTTGTTATTTCCCCTGAAGTCTGGAGAAATAACAAGTGTTGCTGGGAAAATAACAAACATTTGAACAATATATTCAGAATTTCATGTGAAAACTTGCAACCTTGTGATGGTTATAATCACGCTGACCAATAAATATACCGTAACATTTTCCATTTCGGTTCAATCCTTTCCTGATTTATTCACCGGCGTACTGTATTTATTTTAATCATTCCATATATGTTTAAATAGTTTTCCTATGCAGTGAAATTGAAGATTTTTTAGGGGAATGTACAAAGTTCATTTAACTATCCAATGACAACCACTTTATGGGATTCTGTATACACATAACTTTTCTACTGTACGACTGCATAACAAACTAATATAAGTGACCCATATATAAAAAGTGATCCATAGTAAAAAAACTTCATAAACTTTTCTATACTAAAACTTAATAAAAACATAACGACATAGTTTTTCATACGAAATTATCATACAGTATATATATTTATACCAAAATATGAAACTTCTATTGTGCCACTTTATAATAATAATAAATTATTCATTATTTGTTTTTTGCCAACTTAATCGAACATACCGTGAATTAATAAAAGATCCAACTACATTCGCATCTACAAGTAGCCGAATTACAAATCATGCAGATTTACCAACTATAAATAACGAGTTATCAATAACGTTAAAACTAAATATAGCGAGTCATGGTACAGATTGGACTCTTGTTTTTCGCAAAGGTATTTTAAATATTATTTATCCTAAGTTATACATATTATATGTAACAAAATTTGTATAAGGAATGAAGAACGCACACCTTCACTCTGGTTATGGGCAAATACTTCGATTCTACATCCCCGCGTTTCAATTACTGGCAATTGGAATTTTGGTATTTGGACTCTTGGAAATGGACTTCTGCTAAATAGGTGGTATCATATAGCATACACACTTTCAAATACTGAGAAACGAATGGATGTATATGTAGACGGAATATGGGCTGGATTTACGAGCGTCGAACAAGTTTTGAGCCAAAGTGTCATATTCAATGATTCACCATTATATATTGGAAAAGATTCGTTCTTCAATGGAATTACTGGACAAATTAGGTATATAAACTAAGTTTATATCAACAATAAATATTATCTAAGCTTAACATAAACTTTTTTTTTTAAATAGCAATTTTCGTTATTATAATTTTCGTCTATCTTCTAATGAAGTATCGATGGATTATTCAGTAAAGTTGACTTTAAATTGTATTCATATATTTTAGCTTTTTAAATTGCTCATAATTATAAATTTATCCAACAAAAATATTACTAATGCCAAGCAATAATTGTTCAAGTCCAACTATGACAACGGCAACTCCTTTAAACAATAATTATCCAAAAACAACGAATGGAGAATGTTCAAATGGTATTCTAGCAGGTTCAATCGTGGGATCATTTGTTTGCGGTGGTTTAATATTTTTAGCAGGAAACCTATTTTTACGTAAATATAAAAAACGTAACTCTTATTATGACTCTGGTAATCAGGTAGTTTTTACACAACAATAATATTCAATATAAACAATGAAATTTATTTAAAAGATAGCGTATAAATTTCAATACAAATTAACTTAATCACTTAATTTGTGTCATCAGAATAGCAAGTTCTGTAACGGAATTTTTTTACAGATAATAATTCCAATGCAAATTAACTCAATTTCATCTATATACTGTGTGTTATCAGAATTGTAAGTTTTGTAACAGAATGTTTTCAGTAAATCATGATACAATACTTTTATTTAGTTTTTATTCATGTTTGACTTTTATTTTGTTGTTAAAGCACAATAATTCCAATGCATTTTTATTTCACTGCAAGAATATCGAATAAGATAGGCGGCGTGTAAGCACCACCCATTGCACTTGTATATATATATATATTTAAATTTCTAAAGTTGAACAATTTCAATTTAACAATATGGAATTGAATGAATTACTTGACTTTAGTGCATCCACATTTTGGCAACTTTGTACAAAAGCTGATCACATTTTGACAATTAATTTAATAGTACTCTCTCTCATTATGTAATAATGATCGTAGTATTGCAACAATATATTCCTGGAGGTTTAATTACACAAATATTTGATGTCGTAAACTTACAAAGATCTATATTTGATCCAATTTAGATAGTCAGATCTTCTATATGTGTGATTACAAAACTTTGAAAAATGCTGCTATAGTCTGTAATAGTATGCAGGTATATAGTATCATTAAGATTGCAATAATATAATAACCCTTTAAAAATAAGAAATGGATACTTACCTACTCTTATTTTGCCTTATGAATTTATAGTGTATCTATAATTTTTCAGGCACAGTATTGCTATTTCCAGACCACTTAGATCGAAATTATCAAAATTACATGATCTACTATCAAAAGGTTTAATCTAATAAGCAATAAAAAATGGAACTTGTTTTTAAATTAACAATCTGCTTTGTAATATTTTGCTTTTACTTTATATTTCAAAATAATTTAATCATTAAATTTATATATATAAATATTATTATTTAATAACAATAACAAGCTATACAAGTAACAGAGGAACCTTCGATATTACACAACTAATTCTTCACCCGGTGTGCAACATGTAAAAATTTATTTTACAATGCCAGCTCATTCCGCTAGTACCTGTTATGATTATAATCCCACACCATTTTTATTATAATAAAATGGTGTGGGATTATAATCATAACATGTACTAGTGGAATTATCTGGTATTGTAAAATAATTTTTTTATATGTTGCACACCGGGTGAAGGGTCAGTCATGTAACATCGACGGTTCCTCCTGTTTATACAAGTATTGCAAAACTATTGTTAAGAAAATTAAAGATAAATTGTTTGAAGTATTTAAAAAAGCTTAATAAAATTAATTTATTAATTTTTTCTAATACTATTAGAGTTTTTAAAAAATTATTATATAAATAAAATTCAATTAGTACATGTTATCTCAAATCTATATAGTCTTAATTATTTAAAATTTATGCAAGACTAATTTATTAAAAATAATCAATTTTTGCAATTGCTATATATATTTTTATATTTTTGATTCAGATATAAAGTATAAAATTAGATTATAAGGATTAATTTTTGTATTAGTTTTTAAAAAATTATACTTAGGCCATGTAAAATTAATTAATTGCTTTTCATAACCCGGCCGGGTCAAAATTTGAAATCTTGTAAAAAAAAATTTTTATATGTTTTAATAACCGGGTAGGCTTTTTAAAAAAATTTTATAAAATTTTTATGGGTAATTTTAGGCATCTCCCGCGGGAGATGTATATCTCCCGCATCCCCACCAAATGACAATGATTAGTGGTAAACAACATAATTGTGTAACCTCGGATGCATCGGTCAGATGATTAACTTTACAAAGCACGATATTCTTACCAATCAGAGCATAGCAGTGACTGCGGGTTGCGAAGCTAACACTTCCTACATAAAAGTTAAACAAAAATCTTGTTTGATAATTTTTTTTTAAAAATTTATATGAATTATATCTTGCTTAACTAATATATATTAAAAAAACAAGTTCTATATAAATTATGTATTGTTACTTAGAGGGCTACGACCTTTAATTTCGTGAGGGTATTATGGCGAACGTATGTAAATCAATAATCTTTTTTCACGGTTTATACTTAAAATGGAGTTCTTCTACTAAGCCAATCGAACTTTACTTAATGGATAAGCTTCAATTTGCTTAGTAAAAAATCATGTTTTCTTGTAATATGTTCAATTTGTCACAATACCTACATTTACCATAACACCCACGCTTACCTTATGATTTATCCAATTTGACTGGTTAAAGATTTTTAATGGGTATCAACTACTATAATCACTTACAGTAATTAATACTGTAGTATGTAATTAATTATTTTTATTGCATCAACAATGATCATTAAGAATTTTCTCAATCAACTTTAATAAAAAAAATTCTTGTAATTACTATTAAGATCGATTGTAAAGGCTCTTAATTAAATTTAAATACAAAAATTACCACTGTGATTTCAATCATGAATTCATATTCTATTGCTAATTTCACAAATCTGTAGCCAAAAATTTTTCATAAGTTTTTACTTTTAGATGTTACTTGATTAATTAAATACGCTTTAAATAAATGAAAACATGCTTATTTAACAAGAATATTACATTTTGATTAATTTATGAGTTAAATAACAATAAGTAATAATTATGAAATTTAAATACAATTTAGTTGCAAAATCAAAAAGTAGCCAAGGAAAAATCTAACTGTGATTTCAAATATATTTGTACCAGATTCAGTATATCTAACTTGTTAGAGAAAACTATATCTGATACAAGGCCCAATGACAAATTTTTCTTGACGGTATTCATGTAACCAACACAATATTAATTAATCGTATTGGACTTGATAAACAAAAGTAAGTATTAAGTTTTAATCATACTAAACTGTTTCAAAATACTAAATTGATAGCAATTTACTAATTTATTTGCCATTTAATTTAATATTTAATGTTTACAATTTATGTAAAAAAAAAATATTTAATATGTTTTCACAAGATATATATTTAAAGCTGATAGAATTAACATTTTATACTCACTTCACTTTAATATGTCAACTTCAAAAAATCTTATTTCATACAATCATTGGGTAAGCATCTCAATTAAATTATATTCTAACTTTTCATTCTAATAATCTTGATTATAAATATCATTACAATGTACATTATATTATATTGTCATTTTGAATTTTAATATAAAATGGCTACATCTAAACTTATTTTAAAAATCTAATCGTGTGTGATAATTATTAGAATTTAAAAAAATTATAATAATATGATAATGCAATATTACAAGAGAAAAAAAGATTGAAGCAACTAAGTTTTATTTATTTATTTTTTATTTTTTTTTGTTATATGCCTTGTTAATATTTTCTTTGGTACAGAATGTTACCGGCAAGCTTGTTTTTGTCTATAAAACAATATATCATATTAATTCATATTTAAATAATAAATACAAAACTAAAATTTTAATTAGAATACAATTTTAATTATAATACATACATTAATTCTAGTTATACTGGGCCACACTCGAACTTTTAATAGCCAACATAAAATCTTATAAAAAAAAAATTAAAATAATATAAAAGCAACTCAAGTACTAAGCATTAATTGTAAATTTACCTTATATCATACTACATATATATTTTTGTAAATACTTTAGGTCATTATTTTTACCTTAGTTTTTAGCTAGGCTCTCTTCAAAAGCTTTTTTTAGTCTAACTTATTTCTTTTTTACTGCAGTTACAGGCATATTTTCTTTTTGACTTCTATTTTTTTTTTTTACCAACTTGTTTTTAAGAGGATTGTTAATTATTAAAAACCTTAAGATACAGATACATTTCTATATAGGTCAAATCTTGACTATCACTAGTAGTTATATATAGAGCTTTTAAATATTTTTTAAGATATGATGTAAAATCTGTATATTTATTAAGATCCATTGCAATTTTACTTGCAATATCTCCTAAAAGTCTATAAATATACATAGATCAGAGTTTAAAAGCATATTCACTAGAAGATTTATATGATATTGGTATTTTCTAGACTTGCAGCTACAAGTAGCTATAAAAGTTAATATAGTTCTTGGCAAGCTCCAATTCAGATAAATCTTTTTGTTAATATTTTGGAAATGCAAAATATCAAGCTAAGCAAAAGAAATACAAACTGCTACTACAAAAGAATGATAACAAATGATACTAGCAAATTCAAGATTATGGCAGCTACAAGATAGTCTACAATCATTATAGCATACCCAACGTATAGCATCAGATCTTTCATAATATGATAATTTAAAATGGTGTAATCTGTTATTACTGGCTACTTCTTTATACATGTAAGCATCCTTTGTATTCTATTTGACTATAAATTTCTTCTATATATTTTAGATTAGACAATTAGCTGCTTGTTTTTCAATAAAGTTTCAGAAGTTGAACAGAAAGAGTAAATGATCTTTTTATATGCAGAAATATGCTCAGCTTCTTCATGTGAATCAAGTGCTTATTCAAAACCTGCTATAAAATCAGTAAGAATAGTTGTACTATCAAAAAGTCTTTTAATAGCTTATTCATTAACTCTTCTTTTTGTGTTGATAATATATCAGCAAAAAAATAGTTTTTAAAATATGCC